ACACAGTGTAGTACTATAATTTCAACTAGAATGGGGTACGTTAATCGTTTACTTGGGACCAATAGGCTAGTCAAGTTGTGAGCCAATTTAAAATCGTTAGTTTCCACCGGTTGCTAGCACTGCGTAGTGATAACATTCTGAACATTCTGTCCATCATTATGAACTAGCCTACAGCTAGAAATCACGATAGTGAAGAAAAAATCTGTCCATCAATCAACATCCTTGCCCTATTGAACAACTTTGGTCAGGATCCCAACATATAGTATATTCAGGCAATTCACTTGCACACTAGGGCCACGTAGTGAGAAAATTCTTAACTTCTATCCACCAACAAAAAGTCCTTGATCTACTTAACAACTTTGCAGAAGACTGTAACCTTCTATACGATCAGGATACTCTTAGGAGGAACGGGCAACCCATATGTGTTGTAAAATCTGCAGTGATGGCATAATCATTAACAAATCAATATTTTTCCGCTCTCATAAGCTTTCAATATCACGCGTGATATGCGAGCAAAATATTGATACTGATTTTACAAGCTCCTTTGATATTGCCGACGATATTGCGAGACTATTCACAACGTGTAGTTGAAGCTGAGTGTTGAATCGACGCAAACATGATTCCGTTGCATCTCGTTTTCTTAGAAAGAGAAGGTATAATAATGCCATAGAGGTAGCTCTAAGACCAGAAGGTTCCGGAAAAACGTGCTCAATTTTCAACAAACTTTCATACCGAATCAAAACAAACATAGTGTATTTAGTACTAGAATTTCGACTAGAATGGGGTATGTTCATCGACGTACTTGGGACTGATAGCACAAACGAAGTAACAGACGGAGCGGCTCGAAAACTTTGGTGACTAAACTGCTATTTCAATTTTTCAGTGTACCACATGGCAACACCACTACTACTGGATTGTACCACATGGCAACACTACTAGTGGATTGTACTAGAATTTTCACCAAATGTATTAGAATGTTTTGGTTCTATCTCTTTCACTCTACTCAAAACTGAAATGCATAAAAAAAAATGACAAAATGATACACTCTTTGCACACGTCAAAGAATCATTGTACACAAAATCAACTTTGTTCAAATCAAAACAAAAAAACTAACCCATCTAGTGGATGATGGCACAAGCTTCCAAGAAAATTCTATATTCCTCGCCAGTTAGTCGTCTGTCACTTCGTTTGTGCTGATAGGCTAGTCCAGTGTGAGCCAATTTAAAATAGTTAGTTTCCACTGGTTGATAATTTTTTTTCTCTTCACCGATGGCAGACACGAAGCGACTGCTGCCAGCTGTTGTGACAGTTTCGGAAGCACTCGGGTGTAAAGCAAAAATAATGAAACTCAATTTCACCACAGTTTGGTGAGATTTGCACTTGGTGAATTTTGATAGCTTGATATTCCGAGCTGCGATATCACAACTTTGCAATATCAATTGCAGTTGTTTGCTTGTTGATTTTTGTCTACGAAAATCAAGCATGGTTTTGATTTTTGGTGAAATTTAATTTTTTGATATTTCCCCAACACTGAAAGTCTGGTACACTTAGAATCCGGTCAAATAAAACCAGGTGTTTCTCGGTATTGATTTGACGTAAGAAAAATGTACTTAAGTCAAAATGAAAATAATGCAAAATTACTCCTAATTCCCGCCATCGTCTGCCGCACACTGGACTAGTCAGCATCAGCAGCCATTTTTTTTTCCAACATCGAGCCATCTGTGCAGCGTCGTCTTTCCAGTTTTATTTAACTTCCTCTTGATAATTGTCCAACAATTTTCGATTGGGCGGAATTGCGGGCGGTTGGGGGGGATTGATATTGTTATCGACGAAATCCACCTTATTGTCGCGATGCCATTGTAGCTTGCCAAATCTGGCCAGAACTTCACTGTACCTTTGTGAGTCTTCATGAAAGGTAGTATACATTTCTCCAGGCACTCTTGCTTCAAGTCTATCATTTTGTTGGTGATGAAAAGCTTGGTTTTGAGTCCGCCGCTGCAAATTCCTTGCCAGATCATCAGTTTCCAGGCGAATTTATCGGCAAAAACAAACTTGAATTTGCTGGGGATATCAAGCCGTGCTGTGGCCAGATAAAACTTTTGTCCGGGAATCTGCCTGAAATCCATCTTGACAAAGGTTTCGTCGTCAATGAGAAGGCATCTTCTGTACTTCGTCAGAACCTGGTCGTACAACTTCCGGGCGCGTGTTCTGACCACTAGATTATGCTTCATCGTTCTGTTCAGTTGCTTGGAGGCACGAAATGAACGGGAACCTGCTAGCAGACGGATCCTCCAGATGGTACTACCAACCGGTGGCAACTAACGATTTTAAATTGGCTCACTACTTGACTAGCCTATTGGTCCCAAGCAAACGATTAACGTGCCCCATTCTAGTTGAACTTTAGGTACTACACTATGTTTGTTTTGATTCACTATGAAAGTTTGACAGATAAAATGAGAAGTTCGTGGATTTTCCCATGTTTCGAAGGGTTGCATTAATTAGCTTGGGACCGAAGAGAGTACCAGAGCTGAACCAAAAAGTTGAGTACGTTTTTTCGGGACCTTCCTGTCTTAGAGTTACCTCTATGGAGTTACCTCTATGATAATAGCATAGAGGTAACTCTAAGACCACTGGGTCCCGAAGAAAATCATTATTATTTTTGGCTCACTCAGTACCAGAACAACGGTCCCAAGCAGTCCCAAGCTATTTCACTCACCCCTGCATGTTTTGCATGAATCCACACACCCCTGATGTTATCTGTCAAACTTTCATAGCGAATCAAAACAAACATAGTGTAGTAATAGAATTTCAACTAGAATAGGGTACGTTAATCGTTTGCTTGGGACCAATAGGCTACTAAAGTGGTGAGCCAATTTAAAATCGTTAGTTTCGTATTGATTGTTGATAATAGGGTACGTTAATCGATTTGCTTGGGACCATAGGCTAGTCAAGTAGTGAGCCAATTTAAAATAGTTAGTTTCCACCCGTTGGAACTACGGTTGGCATCGTATTTTTTGGCGACATCCCAATCCGAGAGTCCTGGGTTTCTCTTGCTCGACCTCAACACCTTCCAGTTCAGCTGCCGATCCAAAGTTCCAGCACGAAGTTTGATTTTAACCTTCCGGGTCAAACTCTTGTGATCAGGGAACCGCTTGAGAACATTTCCCACACATTAAAAAAAATCATGTAAATAGTCCAATCAAACATACTTTTCGTCGAGCAACGAACTTTTCAGTCTCGGAGCACTTAATTTTACATGACTTGTTTGTTTACGTCTCATCTTTTATGTCAAAGACGGATTCCGTCACGTGTAAAATTAGTTATTTCTAAGTGTGTACGGTAGAAACGGCAATTTTCAACTTTTTTGTGATATTTCGAATTGACTACGTCGGGTTTTCGACGTGGGTGTGCAGGATCAATTTTATTTTCTCGTCTTCAATCTAGTACAACTTTTTTAATACTGCACGTATAAAGAGAAAATTTTCATCACTGAAACACGTGTACTTTCAAAACAAATCGCTGTCAAAACATTCCAAATCCAACCACTAGAGGCGCTGCTATAGAATAAATAATGTGTCCGGATTCTAAGTGGACCAGACTTTACAAAGTCCAACGCGCTTGCGCTCGTGTTACAAAAGTTGGCGCATGTACTAAAAGGTTTAAAAGTAAATCAAAAACTAACGATAGCTTAGTAAATCAGACTTCCCAGTCTGTGGATGCGGAATTTTTTTTTGTCCTGACTACTTCAAACTAGGGTAACAGGATTTTTCAGTAATCAAAGGAACACATCTTAGTCCTTGTTACTTTTTATGCCTTGTTGATAGTGACAAGACTCAGCTTTGTCCACCTATGTGATTCCTAATCTTCTATTAGATGTTCCCTAGTTTGAAGTGGGGAAGACTAGGATTCTGATGCATGATCATTATCGGTGTCATTAATTAATGTTGTTGCTAAGGAATCCAATTTTGACTGACAAAGGGGCGCGTCTTTGGTATAAAGAGCGGGACCTTTCAATTAGAGTCGGATCCTTGCGATAAAAGCAAGAATGACAACTGTAAAAAAAACGAATAGGGGAAATGGCTCTAATGTTGGCCTGTGGATCTAAGATTAGGCCCATTGCTAGAAATCTGCTATTTATCAATTTTATCTAGAAAAAAAAATTATCTAGATGAACGCGTCATTGGGACGGTACTAAGGGATATTGTTGGTTGCTATTACAAATTTAGTCGATTGCTGAATTTATATATGGGCCCAAATTAGGGGCATTTAGGCCGACATTACATCCATTTCCCCTACTTCATCATTTCTCAATAGTGATGGAGTAATACGACATGCACTAAACGAAGGACACGGGATATAGGGGAAACGCAGGTAATGTCGGCCTAAGTGTCCCTAATTTGGGCCCATACATAAATTCAGCAATCGACTAAATTTTCAATAGCAACCAAAAATATCCATTAGTACCGTCCCAATGACGTGTTCATCTAGATAAAATTGATAAATTGCAGATTTTTAGCGATGGGCCCAATCTTAGATCCATATGCCAACATTAGAGACATTTCCCCTACTACAATAGTTCAAATTACTGGTCGCAGTGGTGTTAGGTCCCGAACAGAGGGAAGAAAATGGCAGAGCTATTTGACTCTTCAAGAGCGATTCAGCCAATTGTCGAATTTTAATAGACCTTTAATATCTCTTTAAACCGTTTGTGGTATGTGATTTTAGCATTCCTTGTAAATTTTGTAAATAAGTGTGATGTGTGCTAGTGTGTTTGTGTTTATGTGTGCTTCTATAATAACTGTTCTCCCCTAAGCCTTATTGTAAAACCAGATTTAATTCAAGGCATTGTCCAGATCTTACCAACATAGTCCCGCTGTTCTTCCGCTACGCGTTATCTGCTTTTGTGCCAGCTTCCATCCAGTAGTAGATTCCGCTTACATTGACACAATGGACCTCTCCTATATATCGTATGTTTATTTTGTTGATATTTCTTTTTGCAGTCGTAATAGAAAAACTCGCGCCAAAAACGAGCATGTTGTACATAGAAACAAGAAATCGAAACGAATGTAAGAATTTCACCTTTTTTAACTCACTGTATAATCCACCTTTCGCCGTCCATGAACTTGATTACCCATCTCTATTCAATAACCACTTTGAACAAATCCCAGCACTTGTACTTCTCTGCATCACATCACACAATGTGAAAGTGATGCGACTGGGTTTGTTCAAATTGCATTACATGTAGTGACATACCTAGTTCCATTCCGCGCAACATTCTCATAAATGCATGCATCGATCCAATGCTCCTTACTGTTGCCCGTTCTTCGTTCGTTGCAGACCGCCAATCAGTATTTGCATATTGAACAGCCGCTACGACATCATCCCAAGGATCTGCCGTAGGCTCGGCTACCGACTGGTCGCCGAAAATGAACTGTGGAACGTGTGCTGGACGGATTCGCTCGTCGGGGTCGATTTCTGCCGGGACATGAGACGGTTCCAGAAAATCAATCACTTCCCCGGGATGTTCGAAATCTGCCGGAAGGATCTGCTGGCCCGGAATCTCAGTCGGATGCTGAAGCTGTTCCCCACCGAGTTTCAGATCTTCCCGAAGACTTGGGTCTTTCCGGCTGAGTTTGTTGCTAAGATGATCCGTTGGATCAGAGGGACATGCGTTACTAACGGGTTGTATTTTTTGTACATTTCAGCTTGGGTGAAGCCATTGCCTACAGCAGGACGCATCGGAGTAAAACGTACATTTTGAAACCGGACCAGGGATCGCAAGGGAGGGGAATATTCTTAACGAAGAATCTCAAGGAGATCAATCCACGCGATAGGATGATTTGTCAGGTCTACATTCATCGGGTAAGATTGTGTCTGTTGTGGTTTTTATTTTTTGGAACGTTAACAGTTTGATCATTTTAGCCGCTGTTGATCGATGGCTACAAATTCGACCTCCGAGTGTACACCCTTGTAACGTCAACCGATCCGCTTCGGATATTCGTTTACAAGGAGGGTCTAGCTCGTTTCGCAACGTACAAATACCGGGAACCATGCATCACGAATACCTCAAACAATTTTATGCACCTAACGAACTATTCGGTAAACAAATACAGTAGATGTTTCTCGAACGACGATGAAGCCGGTAGTAAACGGAGATTTGCCACACTGAACCGTATCCTTACCTCGGAAGGGTACGACATAGCGGAACTGTGGAACAACATAGACGATGTGATAGTTAAAACTATTCTCAGCGCGTGGCAAGTGCTCAGGCATACGTATCAAGCGAGTTTCCCTACCCACGACATAATTCAGGCGTGCTTCGAAATTCTAGGTTTTGACATTTTGATTGATCACAGACTGAAACCGTATATCCTGGAGGTCAACCACTCGCCTTCGTTCCATACGGACGAAGCTATCGATAAGGAAATCAAGGAAGCTCTCATCGCCGACACGTTTGTGATGTTGAATCTGAACGGGGAAGTCAAGAAACGTGTTCTGGAGGAAGACAAAAGACGAATACAGAATAGACTGCTGCAAAGACTGCGAGAATACTCCAAGAGCAAGGAAGCCAGTAAGGAAAGCAGTAGCGATAGCAAAAACGGTGACGACGATGATCCCAACTCGGAAGAACGGATGGGACCATGGGCGGATCAAATCAACTGGGAAGAAACGCATCTTGGAGGATTCCGACGAATACTGCCAGTTCCGGGCAATCCCGATCGGTACGCACATGTCTTCCTGGCGCAAACGCAAGCATCGGTTTACAACGAAACGGCAGCGAGCAAGAAGCGCGAAGAATGTGCCAAACAGCAACGGATCGAACTGGAGGAACGCTACAGACACAATCAAGCAATGCTCAATAAAAACAATCCAAAGGGACAACAGCAGCAGCTGGGCGGCAAGGGGCTGTGCTCCAGCGAAGATGGGGCGCTGTTGGTGAAGAAGAAAAAGAAGCTGAAACCGAAGGTGGTCAAGAAAAAGGATAACTACACTCCGGATGTCATCATCGATTACGAAGAACGCGAAAGGATGGCGCTGCTGGCGCAGAGAGACTTCCTAATACGGACGTGTGGGTTGGTGCAAAATGTGAGTCGAACGCATATTTTAATAAGAGGAGTCGGAGCTGGAGTTGAAAAAAGCACCGACTCCGACTCCAACTTTAATGAAACATAATTTTAAACTAGATCGTACCAAAAGTTGGTCCAGAGTCCATGAAAACTAACGTTAACCTAGATTTACTGTTGATTTTGATGTAACAAACCTCCTCATATTGCAGATCAAAACAACACTTATTAATGTTTCAAAATTATTGTTCATTGCACAGTGGGCCAGGAATCAAATCTAGCAGGGAAAAATCAATAACGCTCCGGGATTACATCCAATTGAGTTGACGTCTGGAGCAATGCTTCTTGACTTTGTTAGCGCTATAATTTGGTGGATAATAATACTTCATGTGTTTGCCGCAAAAATGGTGCTTCGATGCTAACTTTTTTTTTATTTTACACGCTAGAGGCTTGCTGTCTGCGACAAAGTTGTAGAACTTAAAATTTTATGAAAAGTTGCTTTTGAAAGCTTTATATCTTCAAACAACAGAGATAGAAATTTTGTCACATTTGTCTGAAATTCACGTTTTTAGAATAAAGTTTTATAAGGTCGTTCAAATGAATACCTTTATCATTTTTCTTGGGTCGATTTTGGTCCAGTCAATCTTTTCCTGAACAATACTTTTATGTTTAGAGTACTAAAAACTTAATATCACATGAAATTCGAAAAAATACATGATTTTCGAAATGATTTTTCTCAAAAAAGCGCAAGTGAGTGCAAAATGTTATCAGTTATTCAAAATGAACATCAAATAGTAATTGTGTAGTCAAATTTTATGTATTTTTTTTCACAGATAACGATTTAGTTGAGACGTTCTATTGTTTCCTGTAAGAGATGAACTAGCCTATGGCTAAAAATCTCTCTAAGAAAGAAAAAAAAAATTGTTTCCTGTGTAGACATTACATAAAATAAACGTACTAGTACTTACTTACCAATCAGGCTAAGGCCTTGTTGTCCTCTGCTGTCCGAAGAAGTCGTCTCCACTCTACTCGATCCATGGCCACACTTCGCCAGCCTCGTAGTCTGCGAAGGGTCCGCAGATCGCCTTCTACTTGGTCGATCCACCTTGCCCGCTGCGCGCCTCTTCTTCTTGTTCCTGTTGGGTCGCTTTCTAGAACCATTTTCACTGGGTCGTCGTGCGGCATTCTTACGACGTGCCCAGCCCACCGTAGTCGCCCATTTTTTGAAATGTGGACGATGGATGGTTCTCCCAGCAGCTGGTGCAATTCGTGGTTCAATCTCCTCCTCCATGTTCCGTCATCCATCTGCACTCCACCCGTGGATGGTACGCAACACCTTCCATTCGAAAACACCACGTACTCCACGAGCATAGTCCAGGTCTCGTGGCCATAGAGGACCACCGGTCTAATCAGCGTCTTGTAGACAGTCAACTTCGTGCGGAGCGTCCTCCGGAGTTCAAAGTAGGCACGATTCCCTGCCATAATGCGTCTTTGAATTTCTCTGCTGGTATCGTTTTCGGCGATCACCAGTGAGCCCAAATACACGAACTCATCGACCACCTCGATTTCGTCACCGTCAATTTGAACTCGGGGTGGGAGGCTAACATTGTCTTCCCTAGAACCTCTTCCTTTCATGTATTTTGTTTTTGATGCGTTGATGGCAAGTCCAATCCGCTTAGCTTCAGCCTTCAGTCTGATGTACGTTTCCGCCATCGTCTCAAAGTTCCGTGCCATAATGTCAATGTCATCGGCGAAGCCAAGAAGCTGGATGGACTTCCTGAAGATCGTGCCACTCGTGTCTATCCCAGCTCTTCTGATCACACCTTCTAACGCGATGTTGAATTGCAGACACCAAAGTCCATCACTTTGCCGTAACCCCCTTCGAGATTCAAAGGGACTCGAGAGTGTCGCCGATACTCGAACAACGCACATCACTCGATCCATTGTCGCCTTGACCAATCGCGTTAGTTTATTCCGTACTCGTGCATAATCTGCCATAGCTGATCTCGATCGATTGTGTCGTATGCGGATTTGAAATCGATGAACAAATTATGTGTGGGCACGTTATGTTCGCGGCATTTCTGCAGAACCTGCCGAGCCCACGAACTCTCTTACAAATATTGACAGGCGGCGGCATAGAATTTGGGGGAGTACCTTGTAGGCGGCGCTCAGCAGTGTGATCGCGCGTTAGTTGAAGCAATCCAACTTGTCGCCCTTTTTGTATATTGGGCATACGACACCCTTCAAACACTCCTCCGGTAATATCTCCTCCTCGCAAATCTTGGCAATTACCCAGTGCAGCACTCTAGCCAGTGCTTCACCACCGTATTTTAATAGCTCACTTGGTAGTTGATCTACACCAGTTGCTTTGTTGTTCTTCAGCCGACCGATCTCCTCCTCAACTTCTTAAAGATCAGGGGCCGGTAGCCTGTTGTCTGCTGCGCGTGCTTCAAGGTCTGTTGCCGTGCCACCTTCGTTTTCTGCTGCATCACCGTTGAGGTGCTCGTCATAGTACTGCTTCCACCTCTCAATCACCTTACACTCGTTCGTGAGAAGGTTACCATCCAAGTCCTTGCACATATCGGCTTGCGGCACGTAGCCTTTGCGCGAACTATTTAGCTTCTCATATAACTTCCGTGTGTTAGCGGCGCCGGTGGTGTAGTGGTGAGCGTGATTACCTCTCACCCCAGCAGGCCTGGGTTCAATCCCAGTCGGCGCCGCCGGGATGTTCTGAGCACGGAAAACAAAATCGACGGAAAACAAACCAAAGGAAAAAAAAACTTCCGTGTGTCGTTTTTGCGGTACAGGTTTTCCATCGCCTCGCGATCTCGGTCTACCTGCTGACGCTTCTTCCTTCGGAAAACCGAGTTTTGTCTGTTCCGCGCTTGTCTGTATCATTCCACATTCAATCTCGTGCGATATTGCAGCATTCTCGTCCGTGCTGCTTTCTTCTCCTCTAGGTACTAACAGTTTGCATTCGCCGTCAAACCAGTCATTTCAAGCTGAACATTGCATTAGGTCCTTAGTAACATTGACAGATTATCTTCGTCGACTTTCTCTTTGTAATCCCACGGCCATGTAAAGACATGTCCAGGTGTTTTCAGCACACAGATCGATAAAAGAAGCTTTTATCTAGCATCTAATCCGACAAACACAACAAGAAACGGTGTTGTGCTCAAGTTAATAACGAAAGAGAAAGTCGACGAAGATAATCGATTAATGTTACTTAGGACCTAATGCAATGTTCAGCTTGATTTCTTCGGTCCGGGATCGCAGTACCTAGTGCAACTGCAGCAGTACTACCTATGGCGGAACGGATATCCCTCCAGCCATCTTTAAGAGAAGTTGCGCCAAGCTGATCTTCCGTGGGTAGTGCAACTTCCAGCTGCTGCGCATAGTTCGGGGCAACTCCGGCGTCCTGTAGTTGCTCAATGTTAGGTCGCGGCGTTCTCGACGGGTGTTATGCATCGTCAAGAGTTTTGAGCGCATGCATACTGCAACTAGGTAGTGGCAACTATCAATACGAAACTAACGATTTTAAATTGGCTCACTACTTGACTAGCCTATTGGAAGATTGCCGTAAAAGCTCAATGTAGATGTCGCCACTGCATGATGATGATAATGTTGACAGACTGCATATAAAATTTGTGAAAATTAGCATTAAATCCTAATTTTCATCAAGCCTGCGTAAAATCCTTCCAATATAACATTCGAAGTGAAGAAGAAAACGTTTTCACGATCAGACTGATGTGTATCTTTGACTTTTCCAGATAAACTTTCATAAGATATGTTCATTTAATTTCACGGCTCCACCAACGCTGCATCGTAAATATAATGTAAACAGAAGTAAATTGCTCAATTACTCAAAATAAAGATGATTTGTCATCTTCTTATCACTTTGAAAACCATCTAGCACCATTTTATAGCATGGTGTGTGTTGAGTAAATCAAGTTCCGTTGCGTTTTCCGTCGAAAATTGTGAGTATCAATATGTTTGCCTAAAAAGGCCAAAATGAACATTTATTGAATATTGGCGTCCTATACAACCATTTCTCCATTATCACCAGCATGATACGATATTTCCTAAGTAAGTCACTTAATTTCCACTTTCATCTTAGTGGAAATCGTACATATTTACCATTTTCCGAAAAATGCAGCTGCGCAAGAGGTAACCTCTTCCTGTGGGTGCAAACTTGTTATGCATAATTTTCCATGAAAACATCTCCGATCCATACCGAAATAGTAACAGTTAGTTTGCAAACACGTTTTCTTACACGATTCAAACAAAAGTTTCTACGGGAAATTATTAGTTTTTCTTTATGGACCGATTTGCCCCAAAAATCATCTGTTTTACTTGGAGAATTCGAAAAGTATCCTCCTTCTAGTAGTTCTCACTTCGAAATGTAGATGGCGAAAGCTTGGAAAAGTTTCACTGCAAGACGCCAATTGGTCCCAAGCAAATCGAGTAACGTTCCCCATTCTAGAAATTCCAGTACTACACTATGTTTGTTTTGATTCGCTATGAAAGTTTGACAGATAAAATGAGGGGTTAGTGGATTTTCCTATGTTTCGAGGGGTGAATCGATTAGCTTGGGACCGAAGATAGTACCAGAGCTGAGCCAAAAAGTTGAGCTCGTTTCTTCGGGACCTACTAGTCTTAGAGTTACCTCTATGGTAGTGGTCCGAATCTATGTTCGCACTGCGGTACGTGCAGACGTTGATAATGTCGAAGAAGAATTTCCCGTCGATTAGAACGTGATCGATTTGGTTTTCTGTGTGTTGGTCAGGTGATCTCCAAGTAGCTTTGTGGATATCCTTGCGGGGGAAAAAGGTACTTCGAGCTACCATACCTCGAGAGGCTACAAAGTTCACGCATCGTTGGCCGTTGTCGTTCGATACGGCATGCAGGCTGTTTGGCCCGATTGCCGGTCTATACATTGTCTCCCGTCCTACCTGAGCGTCCATGTCGCCGATGACGATTTTGACGTCCCGTTGCGAACAGCCGTCGTACACCTGTTTCAGCTGCGCATAGAACGCTTCTTTCTCGTCGTGGGGTCTACCTTCGTGTGGACAGTGCACGTTGATGATGCTGTAGTTGAAGAAACGGCCCTTAATCCTCAACTTGCACATCCCCGCGTTGATCGGCTGCCAAACAATCACGCGTTGGCGCATCTAACCCAGCACTAAAAGACCGGTTCCCAGCTCGTTGGTGGTGCCACAGCTCTGGTAGAAAGCAGCCGCTCGATGCCCGCTTTTCCATACCTTTTGTCCCGTCCAGCAAAGTTCCTGCAGTGCTACGACTTCGAAGTTGCGTGGTTGAAGTTCGTCATAGATTAACATGTCGAAGCCGAGCGATTTGCAGTTCCATGTTCCGAGTTTCCAATCGGAGTCCTTATTTCGGCACGTAGGTCTGTGCCGATTGTTCCGATCTGTATTTCTTTCTTCAGTATTTGCAACTTTATGTTTTGAAAAAAAAAAAATTGAAGCAGGGGTGATATTTGAAAAATTTGAAGCAGGGGTGATATTTGTACTTACGAGTACGAATGTAGAATTTGTTCCTCGCTGACCGTTGTTAACAGCAGAGGAATTTGTACCTGTTCGGAAACGTGAAATGTTTTCTACCTTTCGCTTATAGCGAGATTGTAGGATCGCTTTGCGAGTCTTACATTCCCAAAAATTGGATTTGTGGTTTTCACCACAATTTGAACATTTAAATTTCTTAGGATCCTCCTTCACACGACAGTCGTCCTTTGCGTGAGAGGAATCACCACAATTCATGCATTTAGCTGGCATGTAGCATTTTTTTGTTCCATGGCCCCATCCCTGGCACTTACGGCACTGCGTAAGGTTTTGGAAACTTTATCCAGTCTTGATAAAGTGTTCCCACTTCACTCAGACATGGAGCATAAGGATAGCTTTTTTCTAAGGCCTTAAGGTTGTTTAGTTCACTAGACTTGAAGTGAATTAAATAAAAAACATTAGAAATCCCATTCCGCGAATCGCCAGGACGGGATTTCATTTTCATTTTGATTACTTGGAGTGGCACAGCTCCAATTAATTTTGCCAGTTGATCTTTGATCTGATCCAGGGATTCGCCACTGGGCAGTCCTTTCATGACAACCTTGAACACACGTTCAGTTTTGGTGTCGTAAGTAAAAAATTGGTGCTGGTTCTCAGTAAGACACTTGAGAAGACATTTAAATCCGTCCATGGATTCAGCCAATATACGGCATTCACCCCGACGGCCAATTTGTAGTGAAAACTTGAATTTCACGAAGTTCAAAAGTTCCGTGCGAAGAGCATGGAAATCGAAAGTGGGGTTATCACAATAGGGGTCTCCCTTAGCTCAGTCGGTAAAGGCGCAGCTACAAAGCAAGACCATGCTGGAGGTGGCTGGGTTCGATTCCCGGTCCGGTCTAGGAATTTTTCGGGTAGGAAAATTTCTCGACTTCCCTGGGCATAGAAGTATGATTGGACTTGCCACACAATTATACCAATGCAAAAATGGTACAGGCATCGAAAGCTCTCAATTAATAACTGTGGAAGTGCATCTAGAACACTAAGTTGAGAGCACGCAATAAGCTAATATGCAATATGCAATAAGCTTGAAATGCGAAGAAGAAGAAGAAGGGAATCTTTTCCTTCTTGGCATTAAGCCGGGAAAGTTTACTAGAATTTTTCCTGGATGATGGATCATTCTCATCATCCGTGAGCAAATCAAATTGATTGCTCAAATCAATTTCATCAGAAGGGGGATCAAGAGATTGTTCTTTTCTTTTGCGCTTAGGCGCCATGGCGGCAGTAAAACTTTTATCCAAATCGACTTCCAGGCAGGATTACCTCGGGTAGGGTCCAAACAAGGATCGAAGTGGAATAAGAGTCGAACAAGGAAGAAAATTCCAGGTATATTGAGCACTGAAAAGTGCTGTTTAAATTTGTTGTAGCTTTAGGTAGCAGTAACACTTCTTTCAACAAAAAGCACGGCAAGAGAGCACGATGCGGAATGATCTTCGATTTCTTTTAAGATTACCAATCCGTTATGACCTTTATCGTCGGAAAATAAAACCTTTCCGTAATCAGTTGGAGGCCATTGAGACTTTTTAAAGTTTATTGGCGACTAACGAAAAAATTAAACAATTTTAAAAGTTTTTTTTTATTGGTCAAATAAATCACTAGAATGTTTACTCTTGGAATATTCGCCTGAAATATTTGTATGTATCATCAGCTAAAATGGATCGCTTCAAATCTGTTTACATTATTAAGAAAAAACTACAAGGGACAGCCCTATGGGGTTGTACGCAATGGTGACGTAGGACTACGTGGTCTTATATAATAAATCTTATTTGTTAACTGCAGCAGGAGCTTGTGTTTTGTGTAGGAATAGGAATTTGAGCAGGGTTCTCTCTGTTTATACTCTTTAGTATGACGCGCTTGACATAGTTGGCCCACAGCGACTCACGGAGAGCTACTGATTCCGATCAATAGCGGTGCGGCTTCTTCCTCCTTCTATGGATGCGCATATAGGCTGCAGCTTGCTGCTTGCAGGCAGCCTTTCGTTGTGTACTGGAAAACACCACCACTCACAACGCGGTGACTGAATAAACACCGTTTGGTGAGACCGGATGGAATTCAACTTTGAAATCTGTGTTAGAGAAATCGCTTTTCGCAGCAACAGTTGCGCAATTATCATAGCAACAGTTGCACATTCGTGCAATTTTCAATAGTGAACATTTGACAAATGATAAAGTCTCTGGTTTAACAGATGCGTAGACATATTTCTGATCTATTGGTGATAAAATTATTGAAATTGGTCCTGGGGCAGCTGAGTTATTAACGTTCAAAATCTTTCATAATTTTGTTACATGTTCCATTTTCGGTTATCACAAAGTGTACCCCCATATAGAAATCACAGACGTAGTCCTATGTCAAAACAGTCAAAAGGGCCTATCATTTTTTGTTATTAAAATCTAATGTAATGTATTCCCCTAATTTCCTTAAATGCTTAGCAGGATTTACTGTATGTGCATATAAATTGTCATTTAAATTGATTGCCATGCAGCAAATATTTGAATGTTGTACATTAATATTTTTAAAGTTTATAACATACTAGCTGAGTGTGCCCGGTCTTGCTCGGGACTCAATATTAGCTTGAGTTTATGCGCCATTAAAAAAAAAGCATGCTATATATTATTCACTCTTATCTAAGGGGCTACCTACCCCTATGACCATCTCCTTATACCTCCACATGGTAAATTTGGTTCCATTTGCTTGATTAGTTCTCGAGTTATTCAGAAATTTCTGTTTCATTTGTATAGGATCTCGTAGGCGAACCAGCCTCTGGCTCAATGCCTCCATAATAAAGAAAACTTAACTTAACTTGTATAGGAGCCCACCTTACAGAGAGGGAGAGAACCATCATAACAACCATTCCCGGTCCTAAAAATCCCTGCCTACATATTTTCACGCCGATCGGTTCAGTAGTTTCCGAGTCTATAAGGGTCAGACAGACAGACAGACAGAAATTAAAATGTTCAACCATATTGCCAATAAACGACGGCGTGCTTAAGAAAGTTATTTACAATATGATCAAAAATGTCCGAAATAATAGACTTCGGAAACTTCGAATTATAAATGTGCTATTTTATTGGCCATTTTCAACCAGTCCGTCAATTTCCGGCAAGCGCTTCCAATAATTTGATACATAGTTAAAACATGCCAAAGTTGACTAGTTTGTATGAAAATCGGCCTATTGTGCTATTTTAATGGCCACCACTGTATAGATGGGGGCATAAGTATTGCAAGATATAATTATAAACTTTTGAATGTCAAATTGTAGTTTTTTAAGGTAAATTGAATTACCAACTAAATTCATCATCCTAAGTTTGGCCTCTATGAACAGCATGTATAACACATCATTTACTGATTAAATTAAGCACATTTCTTTTCGGTCCCCTGTCCTCCCCAGATCTATTTGAACTTCAACCGGAACAAGCTGCTAACCATGTCCGACCAGCGCAAGTACAAGGAAGTGTTCTCCAAGCTGGTAGCGAACGATGTGCTCCAACAGGAGCTGACCAGCCAACAATCGATTCAATCCGGTACGACCACTTGTCTTCCGGTTCTCTCGAACCACTACGGCAGTAGCGTTGCGTCGCATTCAACCCTCGGAGCCGGCCAGAAGCTACATCTGAAAAGTTTAGTTACGATCAGCGATACGACATCCTGGATGCAGTGCACCGAAGTGGCCCAACCGAGCAGGCCCCCTTTGCCGTACCTGTTGGCGTCGCAACCGACCAACTATCGAAGTACCAAGACCACCATGGCACGGCAGGTCACCAATGTGGTCAAGCGGCACAACATGGACACTAGGCAGCTGTACTCGGCCTCCGATAAGGTTATCTAGTATTGAGTTTGGGTGGATAGCTCGTCGGTTATCTGCTCAGTCAAGACGTTTCTCCAATTCAGTTGTGCCTACTTGCTGCCATCACTGGTCAATGCGTGCAAATTGCGTGTTCTTCGGTTGTACAAAAACGTAGCAATTATGTTTCAGAGCATTTTAATCAAATTCTGCCCATGTTTAAAATTAGCCGTAATTAAATCTACTGTGAGCTTTTGAGTAAAACTTTGTAGAAATTGGAAAGAACCGACCACTCATGTGTTTGCTTATGTGATAATTCTTTATTCATATATGTAGGTAGTACTTTAGATAATAGTTGTTCACAGTATCAATCGGGCCTCACTTCTCCTCGCACCATTCGTTCTCTCGGCGGATTTGTTCCTCTTCTTCCGGCGTCAAATCGTTCTGAATGTTGAACGTTTTCCGGATTTCATCCGGCGTTTTACCCTTGATCATGTTGGCCACCGTTTTGCAAGTTGCGTCCTGCAGGCCTCGGATGTCCAAATAGTTGGCGGCCAAGATCAGCTCGAATAGTGTTCCCTGATCGACCCGAAGGAAGTCACGATCCCACGAGCATATGTCGTCGGTGCGTTTCTCCTGGGTTTCCTCTTCGTGTGGCATTGTTGGGTGATCGTCCTTATGATACGTGGCCCACTCTAGAACCTTCCGAAGGATAGTGGCGTTCACATTCGGTAGGGGTACCACTTCGCCATCGTCCTCATCCATGCCCAGGTCCTCCAGCATGGTTTTGATCGTGTTGGAACACTTGGCGAGCTGGATCTCGACGTCGAAGACCTCACCATCGGCGGATTGTAACTTGATGTTTGGCATTTTTGGCGGTGGTTTCCTGTAGATTTGCTGCAGATGAGAGGACTCTAAGCCTTTGAGTGATCGTTGAGTTGATACGGTATGAGTACGAAATGTTACTGTGATGATCGTGTGTGGTGGCAGAGGCATTTATTCAATGGTAAGGTACAGTTTAGGTAGAAATTACACCAACCGGTATAAACTGTGAGGACTGAAAAACGGCTAGAGTAACCTTAGGTAGATATCAATGAACATATGGATTTGAATGTTGGCTAGGGAAAATGAGGTAAAGTAAGGTTTTTAGGTAAGATAAAAAACTAGTAGATAGAGTGAATGCCGAAGTTGCTTAGAGTACGATGGGGCAAAAGTTCGACCTTAGATGAAACAATTAGAATATCTCAAAACTCCAAGAAATCAAACTAATTCCATACCCGGGTCCCGTTCAGGATTCAAATCTTTTTTTAACAGACTGATGAATTTTCAGCAGCTAGAAAGATGTTTTCGATAGAGTGTTTCAAAACGAACTTTTACCGAAAGTTCGATTAAGCAATGGGGCAAAAGTTTACAAACTTAATGGCATTTTTTGAGAAGTTTTGTCACTTCAAATCTTTAAATATCCCATGACGGTATGAAAGACATAGAGAAATCACATGTTTGGAGATCTACGTACGTCGCGAACAACGAAATCCACTCGATAATAGTTGATTTCCCCTATAATTTCGCTTTAATTTGGCTTCATATTTTGTACTTCAAACCTCACAATCAGGATGTGCTAGAGAGGCATAAATTACGCAACATGAAACAGGGATCGAATGAAAGATTTTCACACTTTTTGCTACGTTTACGTCAACAGTTGTCAGATTGCTTTTCGAGAAGTATGCAAAGGAAGTCAAAAACGTCCTTGAAGAAATTATGCTCGTCGATGTTATTGTCGAAGGGTGTAATTCCCAGGAACTGCGAAGGAAAATTTTGGAGAAGGATCAGTCCTTGCGGGAACTCGAATCTCTCGGGGAATCATTAGAAAGCGTTCGCTTGCAGGAAAAAAGAGCTGAAAAGTGGCAATGAAGGTGGTCAATCGGAGGTCTTCAAAATCCAGAAGTCAGAGCCCCGTGCAGGATTGAAAACGCGGAGTGAACGCAAGCAGGAGAAGATTGTGCGCCGATTTTCAGGAGGAAGATTTTTGGAAAGGAATGAGGCAGATATCATATGCTTTGCCTGTGGTCAATACGGTCACATGTCAAAGACTCCATCCTGTCCTGCGAGAGGCAAAACTTGCCGAAGATGCCAGAAATCAGGACACTTCGAGAAAGTCTGTCGGAAAAGGCCATCTGATTCTCAAGTTACGCAGTATACGAGAAAAGTGCATTCGGTAGAAGATAACGATGCTACACCGGAACTTCCGGTTTCGTCCGGCGATTCGGAAAAGAAGGTGTATTACACCTTCTATACAGGCAACGATACAAATTCCTTCGAATGTAAGATAGGAGGAATTTCGACAGCAGTGTTTATTGATTCTGGCTCTGAAGTAAATCTAATCACAGTGAACACATGGGAGATGCTTAAAGCACAGCAAGTAATCGTGTTGCACAAAAGGCAGCAACAAAGTTCTCAAAGCGTATGGATGTAATGAGCCTTTGCGTATCGTGGGGACATTGGAAGCTTCAGTGGAAATCGATAATCGTTCAACAGAGGCAGAATTTATTGTGACCGAAGAAGGACAGAGAAACCTGCTGGGGGATTCCACCTCCAAGCAACTTGGAATTCTCAAAATAGGCTTGGAGATTAATCAAGTTAACAAGGATTGGAAGCTGGTGCCGTTTTCCAAGATAGCTGGTATCCAAGTTCGCATTCAGATGGACCCAACTGTGACTCCTGTTTACCAGCCGTTACGACGGGTACCGATTCCTCTCGAAAGTGCTGTAAACGAAAAATTAGATGAGCTGTTGGCAAGGGATATAATCAAAGTAAAACGTGGACCGGTATCATGGGTTTCTCCGCTTGTAGTAGCAAACAAAGCCAACGGTCAAATTCGATTGTGTGTGGATCTCAGACGAGTTAATCAGGCGGTAATCCGCGATCGTCACCCGATGCCTGTGATTGACGAAGATTGGGAAAGGAAACGTGTGGAGTGTTCTCGATGTGAAGGACGCCTTCTTCCAGCTGGAACTGGAGGAAGAATCTCGAGATGCCACAGTCTTTATCACTCATCGTGGCCTTTATCGGTTCAAACGCCTCCCGTTCGGTCTGGTATCTGCGCCAGAAATTTTTCAGCGTACCATGGACGAGATTCTGGTGGATTGCGAGGGTGCATACTGGTACCTTGACGATTTAGGAGTTGAAGGCAAGACGTTGGATGAACACGATAAACGATTGAATGAGGTATCTTGTAACGATGTGGGTTAATAAACAAGGAGGGTTTTAATAATTTCCTTTTTTTCCTTTTTTTTGTTTCTTTTTTTATTCGGAAATGGTTCTTTTTCATGATCACAGGTATTGAGAAAAATGAAAGACCGAGGAGTAGTCCTTAATTGGGATAAATGCAAGATATGCGTCACGGAATTTGATTTTCTTGGATATAAAATTAATTCTGATGGCATAAGGCCATCTGATGAAAAACGAAATGCTGTGTTAACCTTCCGTCAACCGGCTAACGAAAGCGAGGTTCGTAGTTTCCTGGGACTCGCTAATTACATGGGAAAGTTCATTCCTAACTTAGCGACGGTGGACGAGCCTTTGAGGAAGTTAACGCAGAAGGGAGTGAAATTTCACTGGAATGAACCGGAGGAGTCAGCATTTCGTGTAGTCAAAGCCAGCATAGCGAATGCTAGAAGCCTCGGGTTTTACAAACTGGAAGATAAAACGTCGGTTTTGGCAGATGCGAGTCCGTTTGCTTTGGGAGCAGTACTAATTCAGACAAATGCTCAAGGATTGTCGAGGGTGATCAGTTTTCATCTAAATCTCTCACGGATACCGAGAGAAGATATTGTCAAACTGAAAAGGAGGCGTTGGCACTGGTATGGAGCGTTGAGAAGTTTCAGGTGTACTTGATCGGTCGTGAATTTAACCTTCTGACGGACTGTAAAGCATTGACTTTCTTATTTGCACCAACATCTCGACCGTGTGCTCGTATCGAACGATGGGTACTGAGGCTTCAATGTTTCCAGTACAAGATTGTTCACATTTCAGGACAATCTAACATAGCTGATGTTCTGTCTCGTCTTTCCACACTGATTCCTCAACCATTTGATGAAGCGGAAGAGTTGACTGTGAGAGAAATCGTATCCTCTTCAGCAACAACAATGGCTTTGAAGTGGGAAGAAATTGGGCGCGCTAGTAGAGAAGACGCAGAAATACAACAGATAATTGAAGCTCTTGACTCCGGGACAGAAGAAGACATGCCGCTGCCATTCAAAATGATTTCAACTGAGCTTTTGCCGTCTAGATGACGTGTTACTAAGAGTAGACCGAATTGTAATTCCTGAGATTCTTCGGCAACAAGTGTTGCAGATAGCACACGAGGGCCATCCGGGTATACGGATTATGAAGAGCCATTTGCGTACAAATGTGTGGTGGCCCAAAATGGACCAGAACGTCGAAAAGTATGTAAAGGAATGTCGTGGCTGTATTTTAGTTGCTGCTCCCAGCCAACCAGAGCCAATGATCAGAAAGGGACTCCCATCACGGCCTTGGGAACAAATCGCGGTAGACTTTCTAGGTCCACTTCCGAATGGCGAAAATTTGCTAGTGTGTATTGATTACTATAGCAGATTTATGGAAGTCTAGAAATGGATGAAATAACAACAGCATCAACTATTAAAGAACTTTTAATCATTTTTTCGCAGTATGGAGTTCCAGAGTTACTTCGTGCGGATAATGGCCCTCAGTTTTCTTCTGAAGAGTTTCAAGCATTCTGTGATGAATATGGCGTACATCTGGATAGCACTATTCCGTACTGGCCGCAGATGAACGGAGAGGTTGAACGGCAGAACCGTTCCATTTTAAAACGATTGCGTATAGCCCAGGAGTTGGGACAAGATTGGCGAAAGGATCTGCGACAATATCTGCTAGTATACCATTCTTCAAACCATTCAACTACTGGGAAACCACCTGCGGATTTGATGTTTGGTCGCCGGATGCGAACAAAGTTGCCAAGAGTTCCTACCAACACTTATGACGATGGAGAGATAAGGGACCGAGACGCAATCGAAAAGGAAAAGGGTAGAGCATACGCTGATAATCGCCGCAAAGCAAAACTTAGTACTATAGAAGTTGGAGATCAAGTGTTGGCGAAGCGGATGAAGAAGGACAACAAACTGCATTCGAATTTCTCGCCTGAAGAATATAGTGTGATCAAAAAGCGGGGAACAGATGTCACTATTAGGTCGTCATCTGGCAAGGAATTCCGAAGAAGCGCTGCTCACCTGAAGTCATTACCAAGGAAATCGATGCAGGAGAGTCAGTCAAATGAGAATACGAGTGGTTCTTTTCGTCGACAAGAATCGTCAGATACATTGGACCGTCAGGATGAATCAGTGGGTCAACCGAAAACACTACACCATGAGGGCAGCTCAACCGTAGTATCTAAGAGAGCTAGAGTTGAATCCAGTCGACTGAAGGATTATGTAACTTATTAAGAACATAATATTGTTTGTTTCAATTTAAGGAAAAGTAGGGATGTAGGGTTCTACTGTTCTATCATTATCCACATACCTTGGATAGTAGATTAACATTGAATCAGTAATGACAGAGAGCGAACGAGAGAAGGAACGAAGGAGAAAAAGGACAGACACACGAGAGACAGAGTGTGAGATGATCGTGCCTTGCGGGGAATAAAGATTGTTTGATGTGAAGGAAACCGCCTGTTTTAATCAGACTATTACAAAGAGATAGAACCAAAACATTCTAATACATTAGGTTAAAATGCTAGTACGCCGGCGCCGGTGGTGTAGTGGTAAGCGTGACTGCTTTCTAACACCCCGATGGGTCTGGGTTCAATCCCAGCCGAGGTCGGTGGGATTTTTCTG